TCATATGCATTGCCGTCAGTTCCACCGTGCCTTCGTGCCTTGATAGTAAAAGACGTGATTTCGGTCATATACATTGCCGTTCCACCGTGCCTTCGTGCCTTGGTAGTAAAAGACATGATTTCAGTCATATGCATTGCCATTCCGCCGTGCCTTCGTGCCTTGATAGTAAAAGACATGATTTCAGTCATATGCATTGCCGTTCTGCCGTGCCTTCGTGCCTTGGTAGTAAAAGACGTGATTTCGGTCATATGCATTGCCGTTCCGCCGTGCCTTCGTGTCTTGATAGTAAAAGACATGATTTCAGTCATATGCATTGCCGTTCCACCGTGCCTTCGTGCCTTGATAGTAAAAGACGTGATTTCAGTCATATCCATTGCCGTCAGTTCCACCGTGCCTTCGTGCCTTGATAGTAAAAGACGTGATTTCGGTCATATGCATTGCCGTTCCGCCGTGTATACATTACATGTGACAAAGACATTTAAAGCTGGATTAATACGAGCAACAAAATTGCTGCAACTTGCAACAAAATCTGATTTCAACGCACGTTAAGTAGAAATGTTGACACATGTTGCCTCGTGATTTGTAATGTATGTGTGAAAACATTTTCAATTAAAATGCGTTGAAATCAGATTTTGTTGCAAGTTGCAGCAATTTTGTTGCCCGTATCACTCCACCTTAAGTCATTAAGAGAACGAGAACATCCGCGTTTTTGCTATACCAAAGGTGAACACTGAAAGGTTTAAAAGATCTTTTGTAAATATATGTATTTTCAACTCTGTCTAAATTTTTAACGTATGAACTGTTTTAGAAGGGTAAACTTTAATTATTTAATTAATTAATCGATTGAATAGTAATTGTAAGTAATTTATCATGAGACATATGAAGAGAAGGTAAATAACACATCTTCTATACAGACGAACAGAAATAGAAAGTCAATCTTAAAACGTTAAATAAAAAATATAGAACTATTTATGGTCTTGCAATCCTTGCATGGATTTCATTATTTTTAAAATATGTCGAAAACCTCACTCTAATGAGTAATATATATATGCAACAAATATTCAATAAAACAATTTTCAATCTATCATTCAAACAATAATTTTAATATATACTTTTAATATATACATTTACTAAACTGCTTTCAACATAAACATGTACATTGGAACAGCCTTTGACTCAATAAATGGTAAAGAATATATAAATTACGACACATGTATATAGGGCATAGTTGTCAACTCTCACGGATCCACCATGAACATCACAGATTAAAACCTCACAGTGAACTCACAGCTTGTTAATATGTCACAGATTTCGAAAATAACCCAACTGGTTCTTAAATATGTTGGCTTTGTTGCATATTTTAACTATTAAGAGTGACTTCATTTGCGTCAAATTACTTAAAACTTTTTTCTTCTGAAAAATTCACGCTATTAAGCCCAAAATAGATAATCAAAATGTCACTTCATGCAACCTCGTACTCGTGGGTATTCGACAATATGGTTTTGTATATCTAAATAAAAGCTACCAAAACTTGTGTGTATAAGGTATAGAAAAGACTCTGAAAATGTCATTTCCAACGATCTTTTCAAAATTTTTCCGCTCGGCGCCAACTATGGTGGCGCCTCGTGGGGCCCGTCAAAGCAAAATCTCACAGATGTTTTTTTCCCAAAGTTGGCAACTATGTTAGGGTAGTATGATTAAATGTGGCTTCACTTCATAAGATCTTTAAATTACGAATGTACCTTTTGTAAATTGCATGTGTGTGTGTGTGTGTGTGTGTGTGTGTGTGTGTGTGTGTGTGTGTGTGTGTGTGTGTGTGTGTGTGTGTGGGGGGGAGGGGTCAAGTTTTTGCTATATTCACCTAACACTTTTTGCTATAACAACAACTTAATACGGCACTGTTTTGACTACTATCCGTAGCTTTAGAGTCATGTCCAGTACCAACAGCCATCGGTGAAACAGCCTGCGGAAAATCTACTGCACTGCGTCTTGTGAGAAAGTTAATGGACATGCACATGGTTTCCCAGTCATCTGGTGAATTTATAGTGTCCAACTTGACCATTACAACGATTCCCGTATGTTGGGATGACCCAACACATGCATCCTGTGTTCGTCAGCCATTAATGTCTGTCTTCAATGGACTTGGTAATCAAACCCAAAAGCGCGGAGACGAGAAACCAAAAACATCATTTCTGCTGGCAGTTAACTTTGCATTGGATGATGACATGAGGTAAAAACGCATGCTTAGTAAATTCCATTTTCTATTTGTCGCTGCAGTAGAATATGCACGGACTATGTCGTTCGGATCCGTGAACTGAACAACAGAATAAATAGGCAGAATATGTTGGAGGTTTGATGGCTAATCAATATCAATAATTTATTTCTAGTCAGTTATGTTCATCTTTAAATCTGATATAGATCGTTTGAAAGGACGACTCCTATTTACTTCCAAAAGCTAGTAACTGATGGTACTGAAGCTGCTGGGGACTACCTTGAAGCTAAAAGAGACATCTTCCTCTTCACGTCCACTCATTGCCTGCCTCATATAATACGGATGAGTCAATGTGTTAATTCTGCCAACCTCGCCAAGCATATGGACTATTTCAGGGATCACCTGGTTGGAATGTCTCCACGACTGCCTGAAATCTATTCAATTTATCGCCTGTTTGCGCACGAGGTAACTGATACATCCCACCTATATAAGCAATGAAGTGATCACAAAATGTTTGCCTTCTTGAACTGTTAAAACATAGTATGTATTCAATATATTTTGAAATTATATAGTCTCGGACTATAAATCACGCTTATACTTATAGCCTCGTTCAATAGTTGACAAAGATTATCCTGATGAGATCTGATGACGGTTAGTGAAATTTTGACTTATTTTAAAGTAATTTAATGTACAACGTTCTTTATACTTTCAGATAATCAGTTTAGTAGATAACGAAGCAGTGCTCAACACACAAGCTTTTGACGATTTTCTCGAAGCACATTTTCTGCCCCATGTCAAGTCATTATATGCAACAACAGTCAAAGTGCACACCAACCTTGAAGATATCATGAAGCTATTGGTTCAAGCCATTGAATCGAACGAAAGAAATGAAGCCGATGTAAGTTGTATTAAAATTCGAAATACATACCTCGATCACCAGTATATAGAAGGTTGAATAAAGGTTGTTCGCGTGGTTTGAAGCCGGGTGGTCAATATATATGTAGTTTTTGCCTCGTATAACAACTGTGTACGTAGGCCTGTTGTAACGTTAATTAATTACTTAGTTGTTTTTTTAGCTTAGGACATGGATGAGGCCAACAGTTGTCGCAAAGGACAAGACCGTATTTATTGCCTTTGTTCTCCCAAAGGCCTTAAAAGAAGTCAAAGATGCTGGCCTCACGCCTCCAACTGAACAGTAGGTTCATGTTCAACATTAACATACCTTATTGTAAAGTATACACACGTAAAAATCTCACAACTTGTCAACAAGATGAGTTCCCAACAGGTTTGTATCAAGCCTGTCAACAAGTTGTAACAATGCTGTTATTTTATCAAGTTGCTACAAGGTTGTCACTCACAACTTGTCGACAAATTGTTGAAGTTGCAGGACGATAGCAAGTTGTTAGAACAACTTGTAACAAGTCTGTTGAGCTCAACAACCTTGTGCGAACACATCCTGTTCACAAGTTCTTGGAACAGCATTGCTACAAGTCTGCTGCAGTACTTGTGCCAGGGTTCGTACAAAACTTGAAAGTCCTTGAATGTCCTTGAATTTGAAAACAAAAATTCAAGGCCTCGAATATCCTTCAATTTGGAAAGAAGTACTTGAAAGTCCTTGAATTTTTCTTGCTTTAGTTTTTGGATATTTTCTGAAATTGTTTGACATTCAAAACGGACATTTTGGTTGAATTGATTTTGCTTGTTTATATCTGACAAAGCTGTTTGAAAGTTGAAACTTATTAAATTTGTGTTTTGAACAATTCAACGTCAGATTTTAGCGATTTTTAACCCCTTTTCTTCAGTCGTTAGTCCTTGAATTTGCTGATACATGGCCTTGAAAAGTAAGTCCTTGAATTTGAGTTTCCCTCACATGTCCGAACCCTGATGTGCGTTTTTATGTGTGTACAATCCATATATACCATGCCTAAAATACACCGTAGGTTTGCAAAAAAACGAGAAAGAACGCGTGCCTACGTGCCTGTTGATGAATCTACTTAAAAATACATTATTTGGATTACTTTTAAACAATTCAGTTAAAATGGTCGGTCACATGTGATGGTGAGATTTTTAAACCTGCCTTCGTGATTTCAGTCATATGCATGATTTCAGTCATATGTATTGCCGTTCCGCCGTGCCTTGATAGCAAAAGACGTGATTTCGGTCATATGCATTGCCGTTCCACCGTGCCTTCGTGCCTTGATAGTAAAAGACGTGATTTCGGTCATATGCATTGCCGTTCCACCGTGCCTTCGTGCCTTGATAGTAAAAGACATGATTTCGGTCATATGCATTGCCGTTCCACCGTGCCTTCGTGCCTTGATAGTAAAAGACATGATTTCGGTCATATGCATTGCCGTTCCGCCGTGCCTTCGTGCCTTGATAGTAAAAGAAGTGATTTCGGTCATATGCATTGCCGTTCCGCCGTGCCTTCGTGCCTTGATAGTAAAAGACATGATTTCGGTCATATGCATTGCCGTTCCACCGTGCCTTGATAGTAAAAGACATGATTTCGGTCATATGCATTGCCGTTCCACCGTGCCTTCATGCCTTGATAGTAAAAGACATGATTTCGGTCATGTGCATTGCCGTTCCGCCGTGCCTTCGTGCCTTGATAGTAAAAGACGTGATTTCGGTCATATGCATTGCCGTTCCGCCGTGCCTTCGTGCCTTGATAGTAAAAGACATGATTTCAGTCATATGCATTGCCGTTCCACCGTGCCTTCGTGCCTTGATAGTAAAAGACGTGATTTCGGTCATATGCATTGCCGTTCCGCCGTGCCTTCGTGCCTTGATAGTGAAAGACGTGATTTCGGTCATATGCATTGCCGTTCCACCGTGCCTTCGTGCCTTGATAGTAAAAGACATGATTTCGGTCATATGCATTGCCGTTCCACCGTGCCTTCGTGCCTTGATAGTAAAAGACGTGATTTCGGTCATATGCATTGCCGTTCCGCCGTGCCTTGATAGTGAAAGACGTGATTTCGGTCATATGCATTGCCGTTCCGCCGTGTAGGGCCTATACATTACATGTGACAAAGACATTTAAGTCATTAAGAGAACAAGAACATCCGCGTTTTTGCTATACCAAAGGTGAACACTGAAAGGTTTAAAAGATCTTTTGTAAATATATGTATTTTCAACTCTGTCTAAATTTTTAACATATGAACTGTTTTAGAAGGGTAAACTTTAATTATTTAATTAATTGATTGAATAGCAATTGTAAGTAATTAATCATGAGACATATGAAGAGAAGGTAAATAACACATCTTCTATACAGACGAACAGAAATAGAAAGTCAATCTTAAAACGGTAAATAAAAAATATAGAACTATTTATGGTCTTGCAATCCTTGCATGGATTTCATTATTTTTAAAATACGTCGAAAACCTCACTCTAATGAGTAATATATATATGCAACAAATATTCAGTAAAACAATTTTCAATCTATCATTCAAACAATAATTTTAATATATCAACATTAATATTATGTTACACCAGGCGGGCTGGCCTAGCGAATTTCCAGATTTGCCGTAAACGTGAATCTTTTATAAATGTTTGTCAGTCTATTGTCAGGGCCGGCGGGCCGCCCAGAAACGTTTGAGGGTCCTTCGGATTGTGCTCGCCAACCGTTTGGATTTTGAGCAACGTTTTGGCGAACAAATAACTTTTCCTAAAGTTTTAGCAAACTTTTAGCAATTTTTTTTTTTAGCAAACACCTAGAATGTTTATACGTTTTGAACAATTTCTACATTATGCTAGCCCCCGTTTACATGGAAGTAAGTTTTTCCCCATGAGTCTCAATGCTTTAAATTTTACTACGGACTCGACATCGAGTAGGATAAAACTTTACTTCACTACGCTGACCACTATATCTAAAACTGCCTGGGATGGCGCTCCTATAGACCTATTTTATTGGAGGGAGTGAGGCTGAATTTTGCCGAGTCACTTCCCCTACGTATAAAAAAATGTTTAACCTGTACAAAAAATGTTTAACTACGTATAAAAAATGTTCCCCCGTTATAAATTATTTCTCCAAACAAACGTTTTCTGGACAGTACTGGTGGTCCATCCCACCCCTCTACTGGCGGTCCATCCACCCCACCCGATACATTCACACAAGTATTGATGTAATAAACCACTACGGAGTAGACAACCAATCATTTTCTGTCTTTGGCACACTTAATTCCACCATGAACATCACAGATTAAAACCTCACAGTGAACTCACAGCTTGTTAATATGTCACAGATTTCGAAAATAACCCAACTGGTTCTTAAATATGTTGGCTTTGTTGCATATTTTAACTATTTAAGAGTGACTTCATTTGCGTCAAATTACTTAATTAAAACTTTTTTCTTCTGACAAAATTCACGCTATTAAGCCCAAAATAGATAATCAAAATGTCACTTCATGCAACCTCGTACTCGTGGGTATTCGACAATATGGTTTTGTATATCTAAATAAAAGCTACCAAAACTTGTGTGTATAAGGTATAGAAAAGACTCTGAAAATGTCATTTCCAACGATCTTTTCAAAATTTTTCCGCTCGGCGCCAACTATAGTGGCGCCTCGTGGGCCCGTCAAAGCAAAATCTCACAGATGTTTTTTTTCCCAAAGTTGGCAACTATGTTAGGGTAGTATGATTAAATGTGGCTTCACTTTATAAGAACTTTAAATTACGAATGTACCTTTTGTAATTTGCATGTGTGTGTGTGTGTGTGTGTGTGTGTGTGTGTGTGTGTGTGTGTGTGTGTGTGTGTGTGTGTGTGTGTGTGGGGGGGAGGGGTCAAGTTTTTGCTATATTCACCTAACACTTTTTGCTATAACAACAACTTAATACGGCACTGTTTTGACTACTATCCGTAGCTTTAGAGTCATGTCCAGTACCAACAGCCATCGGTGAAACAGCCTGCGGAAAATCTACTGCACTGCGTCTTGTGAGAAAGTTAATGGACATGCACATGGTTTCCCAGTCATCTGGTGAATTTATAGTGTCCAACTTGACCATTACAACGATTCCCGTATGTTGGGATGACCCAACACATGCATCCTGTGTTCGTCAGCCATTAATGTCTGTCTTCAATGGACTTGGTAATCAAACCCAAAAGCGCGGAGACGAGAAACCAAAAACATCATTTTTCTGCTGGCAGTTAACTTTGCATTGGATGATGACATGAGGTAAAAACGCATGCTTAGTAAATTCCATTTTCTATTTGTCGCTGCAGTAGAATATGCACGGACTATGTCGTTCGGATCCGTGAACTGAACAACAGAATAAATAGGCAGAATATGTTGGAGGTTTGATGGCTAATCAATATCAATAATTTATTTCTAGTCAGTTATGTTCATCTTTAAATCTGATATAGATCGTTTGAAAGGACGACTCCTATTTACTTCCAAAAGCTAGTAACTGATGGTACTGAAGCTGCTGGGGACTACCTTGAAGCTAAAAGAGACATCTTCCTCTTCACGTCCACTCATTGCCTGCCTCATATAATACGGATGAGTCAATGTGTTAATTCTGCCAACCTCGCCAAGCATATGGACTATTTCAGGGATCACCTGGTTGGAATGTCTCCACGACTGCCTGAAATCTATTCAATTTATCGCCTGTTTGCGCACGAGGTAACTGATACATCCCACCTATATAAGCAATGAAGTGATCACAAAATGTTTGCCTTCTTGAACTGTTAAAACATAGTATGTATTCAATATATTTTGAAATTATATAGTCTCGGACTATAAATCACGCTTATACTTATAGCCTCGTTCAATAGTTGACAAAGATTATCCTGATGAGATCTGATGACGGTTAGTGAAATTTTGACTTATTTTAAAGTAATTTAATGTACAACGTTCTTTATACTTTCAGATAATCAGTTTAGTAGATAACGAAGCAGTGCTCAACACACAAGCTTTTGACGATTTTCTCGAAGCACATTTTCTGCCCCATGTCAAGTCATTATATGCAACAACAGTCAAAGTGCACACCAACCTTGAAGATATCATGAAGCTATTGGTTCAAGCCATTGAATCGAACGAAAGAAATGAAGCCGATGTAAGTTGTATTAAAATTCGAAATACATACCTCGATCACCAGTATATAGAAGGTTGAATAAAGGTTGTTCGCGTGGTTTGAAGCCGGGTGGTCAATATATATGTAGTTTTTGCCTCGTATAACAACTGTGTACGTAGGCCTGTTGTAACGTTAATTAATTACTTAGTTGTTTTTTTAGCTTAGGACATGGATGAGGCCAACAGTTGTCGCAAAGGACAAGACCGTATTTATTGCCTTTGTTCTCCCAAAGGCCTTAAAAGAAGTCAAAGATGCTGGCCTCACGCCTCCAACTGAACAGTAGGTTCATGTTCAACATTAACATACCTTATTGTAAAGTATACACACGTAAAAATCTCACAACTTGTCAACAAGATGAGTTCCCAACAGGTTTGTATCAAGCCTGTCAACAAGTTGTAACAATGCTGTTATTTTATCAAGTTGCTACAAGGTTGTCACTCACAACTTGTCGACAAATTGTTGAAGTTGCAGGACGATAGCAAGTTGTTAGAACAACTTGTAACAAGTCTGTTGAGCTCAACAACCTTGTGCGAACACATCCTGTTCACAAGTTCTTGGAACAGCATTGCTACAAGTCTGCTGCAGTACTTGTGCCAGGGTTCGTACAAAACTTGAAAGTCCTTGAATGTCCTTGAATTTGAAAACAAAAATTCAAGGCCTCGAATATCCTTCAATTTGGAAAGAAGTACTTGAAAGTCCTTGAATTTTTCTTGCTTTAGTTTTTGGATATTTTCTGAAATTGTTTGACATTCAAAACGGACATTTTGGTTGAATTGATTTTGCTTGTTTATATCTGACAAAGCTGTTTGAAAGTTGAAACTTATTAAATTTGTGTTTTGAACAATTCAACGTCAGATTTTAGCGATTTTTAACCCCTTTTCTTCAGTCGTTAGTCCTTGAATTTGCTGATACATGGC